ACTCCTGCATGCCCATATATGGAATGATAATTTTCCGAATTCAAAACTTCCCTTGATCGTCTTTTTTCTCTAGTCTCCAATCTATTTTCCTAGGTAAAAAAGGTAAAAATCATGTGAATTCATTTAATTCTCCTATTTTTCGCTTCGAAGTTGGTTCCTTCACTCAATTTCAAGTTTGAATCCAATTGGATAAACTTTTAGATAGCCCGGAAACCAGATTCCGCGAAAACCTTGCTAAATGTGTTGGCAAGTGGCAGTGTGGAGTGTCAAAATCGGGTGCTGATGGTCATTTACAGGTATTTATCATCTCTCAGGCTCTTATTTGGATTAATCGGCTTCATCGATAGGGCTAGTGAAGGGTATTTGAATTATTTCACAAAGTGAGACATTAGGTCACGAATTTCAGTACGTGTATTTGTGTTGCTGAGTACAAGTTGTTCTTCCTTGACACGGTCGACGATTACAATCAATCGAATCTCGTTACGTTCATACTGCGACTTCTTTGGAACAATTTCGTGCAATATGTGAGTTTGTTACCTTTTTTTCAAATAGAAATTCGTCAGATCAAGTTTGAGACAAGACCTGTAGAAGAAGTGATTTGGATAGATTTTGGAGTGACGATTATCGATTTGAAACACTTATATTTATTTGGAACTAATTATTTATCGCCTAGTCCAAAAAGCGCATTGGTCCTACGAATGATGATTTCCAAAGCCGATTAGTTTCATTTTCTGATCGAAACGCTTTTTAGAGAAGCAGCCATCCATTCAAGGCTCAATTAGGTCAACTGTCCGAGTCCATGGCGCAGTATATCCTTAGGTTGATGAATTTGGCTGGAGATCGATTATGTTCTGTATAGCACCCTTTTCGGGGTTGAAAAGCGCCATGAATAGCGAAACTGCGAGTTTAAAGGCACAGTTCACGATAAAAATTGTTCCTATGCTTCCTCCTGAGATGATTGTGATCCGCAAGGGTATTAAAAGGTAAGCTGTCGGGTTCACACCGTATCCCGCTCGTTGGCGAGGCAGCTCATTGTAGTCACGTGGCCTATTTACATGGACAACTCCTCCGTATTCACAAAATTTTTATATTCAATATAGAAATATAATATTTTTAGCCTATTATTCGTCTACTTCATTTTATTCGTTTTCACTTTGTTTTTACTTTTGCTTTTCAGAACAATTTCTCCGAAGCCGAACGAATCCATCGTCGTAAACAAATCGATCGTGTCCTACGATTGCTTGCAACGCTGTCGAAGAGTGAAGAACTGCTACAACAGATCACTGCTATATTCAGGTTGGTAATACGCTCTATCAGTCGTCTACTTCATTTCAAGGCGAAAATGTGCTCGGGGAAGAGGGGGGGGGGGGGGGGGGGGGGGGGGGGGGT